AGAGAGGGTCAAAGCACAATGGTTAACTTCTGTTGAATCTAGGGCTGTGGCTATAGGAGAAACAAGACCCTGGGGTTTCAGGCGCTTACCAACGTGGTGTAGTGGTTAAGCACGGTGGACTTGTAATCTGGTGAACCGGGTTCGCGTCTCCGCTCTTCCACATGCAGCTGCTGGGTGACCTTGGGCTAGTCACACTTCTATGAAGTCTCTCAGCCCCACTCACCTCACAGAGTGTTTGTTGTGGGGAGGAAGGGAAAGGAGAATGTTAGCCACTTTGAGACTCCTTAGGGTAGTGATAAAGCAGGATATCAAATCCAAACTCTTCTTCTTACCTAGGGTCTGTGTTTTCTTTTGGAAATGAGGCACAGTGATATATGATATATAGTTTATTTACACTTATATACAACCTGAGCCTACGATGGAGGTGTTCACAGCAACAACAATCCAAGAAGGTCTTTCTTTTCCCATGGATTCAAAGCAAGACATCTGCCATTGTGCTCTGACCCTCTTTTCAGCTTGCTGCCTTTACCAGAGTGTAACCTTTTCCCTCCAGGTCATATCACAGTGAACTCTAAAACTCTCTTTCCAACTCTGCTCTGTCTTCAACACTACATCTGAGCCAAGGTCTCACCTGCTTGCCATCTGGCTCTCCTAACGGCTCATTACCTTTATCTTCCTAATGTCCCATCACCAACTGTCTTGCTTCTATTTTAAATTTTGGCTTGATTAAATTCTAACCAACTACTAGACCCAGGAATTTAGGGTGTCTGGCACCCACAAACACATTACATTGTGTTTTGGGAGCCCATGGCTGAAAAAAAAAGTGTGATAATTCTAGTACTGGCTTGCCTTGGTCTGTTTGTCTTCTCGTTTTGTATTTTTCTGTTGTGAACCACTCATCTTTGGATGAAGGGTGATATACAAATTTAATAATAATTCTTTCCAACACCTGCCGCTTCCTCCTCCTCCTCCTGACTAATGCAAAGGTAAGTAGTAAGGAAGCAGGCAGAGGCCTTCTCAGTAGTGGCGCCCACCCTGTGGAATGCCCTCCCATCAGATGTCAAGGAAATAAACAACTATCTGACTTTTAGAAGACATCTGAAGGCAGCCCTGTTTAGGGAAGTTTTTAATGTTTAATGTTTTATCGTGTTTTTAATATTCTGTTGGGAGTCGCCCATAGTGGCTGCGGAAACCCAGCCAGATGGGTAGGGTATAAAGAAATTTATTATTATTATTATTATTATTATTATTATTATTATTATTATTAATAATAATAATAATTAGGGACCAGACAGTTCTGACTCACTTAAGCTGCAGGCCTGTACAGCATTAGTTTATGTGAAGCTTGTAAGTCTATGTGAATAGGCTTTCACAAGTCTAGGATGCCACTTGACACAAAGTCCAGGGTGAAACTGGGCTACATATGTGCCTAGAAGTTATGAAGGTGACCTTGGTGTAAAAAAGAAAAGAAAAGAAAAGAAAATCTGCTGTGAATCCTCTTACTGAAAACTGGGCAACAGCACTAGCAATATCATTGGTTGTGTGTGTCTAGGTGCCAGTGGGCAACCCCTTAATATTTAAAAATGCCTTTCCAAGAACATGAGCTTTGGACATAATATTTAACTCTGACTTTTAAATATATTAATGCCCACACTTGCGAGACCCTTTTGCATGTGCTGTAACAGACTAGGCACGGCTCTCCCTCTGGAGTAGCAGTAGAAAATAGCTCAGTGCTTGTCATCTTGAAGTGAAAGTTAGTGCTTCTTGGGTAAGCTGCAGATGAGATCTGTGTTTGAAGTTTACAATCTAGGTTAGATGATGCAGTAAGGCGGATGATAATCGGGCAAGAGAGGGGTGGGTGTTCGGGGAAGCTTGCAGAATGAGACTTTGAGGCTGCCTTTTTCTTGTAAGGTAGGAATTGTATTGCAAACTGATTCTATTTTCAATTGATTTATTATAAGCTTGGAATCAATGGGCTGCTTTTAAGTGTGGTTTGAGAAAACACTGGCTGTTAAAAGGGGATCTGTGTATGTTGATATACCAAAATTAAGCTGCATCTTGATCCTTGGAGGGATTTCTTCCCTTTTTTTCAGTCAATGAAAAGGGCAACACAATGGCATGGGCGTTTCAACTGCAAAGTGATGCTTATTGGGACCAATGTTTCCAACTTTAGGTATACACTGATTGGATCTGAACTGTAACTGCTTGGGAAATTGCTGTTGGGGTCATCACGATGGTTAGTAAGGAAATGTCAAGAAGGTGTTTGGCAGCAAAGGAAAGATGCATTCCATGCTAGGGATGAGTAAGGAGGGGAATGAAAATTAAACAGCCAGTATTGTAATGTCTGCAGAAAAATATATGGCGTGGCTGCATTTGGCTGTAGAATTGAAAAAGACAAACAACAACAAGAGGTGGGAGCACTTTCTGTATGATGAAAAGTTAAAATGTTGGGGCACTTTAGCTGACTTACAGGGAGGCTCAGGGATTTGGGGGTAGAACATTTCCCACAGACATTTTCCCCAAATGGAATCTACCATTTTTTCTGCCAATATGATTCTATAAAGTTTGTGTTTCATAATTTTATTAACAATTTTATTGTTGTGGGGGAGGAAGGGAAAGGAGAATGTTAGCCGCTTTGAGACTCCTTCGGATAGTGATAAAGCGTGATATCAAATCCAAACTCCTCTTCTTAGGAACAATGAACGGATGCCATTTGCAAATGCAATACAGTGCTACCTTGGGTTAAGAACTTAATTCGTTCTGGAGGTCCGTTCTTAACCTGAAACTGTTCTTAACCTGAAGCACCACTTTAGCTAATTGGGCCTCCTGCTGCCACCGGAGCACGATTTCTGTTCTCACCCTGAAACAAAATTCTTAACCCGAGGTACTATTTCTGGGTTAGCGGAGTCTGTAACCTGAAGCGTCTGTAACCCAAGGTACCACTGTATTAGGCAAGCCTGGCAATTTCAAAGTTGTCCGTTTGGTTTACTGAATGCACATGAAACGAACCTGCAACATTAGACCACTCAGTAAATTTTCTGGTGGAGATTACTGTAATTTGCATAGGAAGATTTTCCAATTAGAGATCCCACATGATCTCTAGGGCGGGGCTCTGTGGTTCAGGGTAGAGCACATGTGTTGCTTGCAAATGATCCCAGGTTCCCAGAATCTCCAGGTAGGACTCTCAAACCATGGTGAGTGTCAGTGGGGAACAGGGGTGGGGAGATTTTTGCCCAGGGGCTAAATACATCCCTCTAGTGCACTCTAGCCCTGGAGACATATCCTTGGCTACTCTTCTTTCTCACTCCTCACCAGTGGCGTAGCGTGGGGGGTGCAGGGGGGGCCGGCCGCACCGGGTGCAACATCTGGGGGTTAGGGTTAGGGGGCACAAATCCACGGGTTAGGGGCGCAAATCCACGGGTTAGGGGGTGCAAATTACTTGCCTTGCCCCGGGTGCTGACAACCCACGCTACGCCACTGCTCCTCACTCACTCCCACTCTCCCCAAATCACAGCTCTCACACGGGCCCTGAGCTGCACCCTCCTTGAGTGGTTTTTTCCCTAACTGGAATGTATCCTTGAACTCTGATAATGCCTCCAGCTTGCCTGGATAGAGGATACAGCAAGGCGGTGCGCATCTTACAAAATTGCAATAAGCGCAATAAAAACATCAGTAATTATTGGCTGGTGAAAAGAAATTCTCATTGCAGAGTCCTGTCTGAATGACAGCATTTTTTTGGAGATGTCTAAAACAATGAAAGAATGATTCCTGCCAATCGCTTACTCCCCTGAGGTTCTTTCCGCCATTATTAAGAGTGGGGAACTGCAAGTAGTGCCCCATCAGAGGATCTCAGTGATCAAGATGGAAAAGTATGCATTAATATTAGTGTATTAGAGAACATATGTGTTCATTAGGGGAGATTCACAGTAAAAAAAAAGTTGACATTCTTGTGATTTTCTTTTAACCGTGGCAAATTTCTGTGGAAATGTACATAACTCAGTTTAAGATTAGAGAAATGAGATGTTGAGAGAAACTGAAATTGACTAATTTGCCTATCCCTAGGCTGGATCACAGCTACATTGTAGGAGGACAGTTGGTGATGAACGTGAAGTTTATCCAAGTCAGGATGGAATCCTAATAAAGATGGATGTGGACCAGAGCAGTCTGGGAAAGTGAGGCTTTAGTGGACTCCATGTGAAATGATTCACTGTAAAGTTGCAGCTGGAGTGAAACTTAAGAGACTGATGCAGCTTTGGGTCAAGCTGTCCTCTTCACCTTCAAAACATCTCATCCCAATTCTCTAAACAATCTCTCTGCACTTGACCCAGCACTTCCTTGCAGAGGAGGAGGCTCATTATTTACAGCACGTACTCGTTGGTAGAGTTAGCCTGGCCTTAAATAAATGAAGATGGATCAGCTGCTTTCTTATGTATGAACTGTGCTTAAGATTTAGATAGAACTTCAGTTTTGCTGGTGGAAATTCTAGAGTAGATCTGTTGTGGTTGAGGCAATCCCAGGCTCCATGCCCAAAACATGAATTTTTAAGCTGAAGAGTGAAAAGCTAAAGTTACGAAAGTAACCGGTCTCCATTTTGTTCTTTTCCTACTAAATACTTTAAGTAGGGATGTATGGATATGTCAGTTTTTGTTTCTCTCAGCTTCTCATTTACCAATCTTAAATTCAGATTTTCACATTTCCATGTCAGTCTGCATTAAAAAGAAGGGGGAAAGGCATGTGCGTTTTTTGTAAGGAAGTTGATAGTGTTGGCAGTTCCCCTTGAAATCTCATGAGGAGCTATGCATTTAGGACCTTTTTTGGAGTTAAGTTATATCTTCACCCATAGGAGCCAACTCCTAGGGGCCGAAGTCCCTTTGAGGCCCCCAATAAAATATTTGAGGGGGCCACTCCCCCCAAGTTGATGGACATTGCCATTCAAATGGTGGTTGTGCACCACATCTTGTGATTGATTATGCATGGCAGGGCTTACCTGCCCTCCTCCCAATATTTTATTCAAGTTGGCACCCCTGTCTTCACTTATGCTCAGCCTGTACATATGGATAGAGAACATGAATACGTTGTGTGCCATTTAAGTTTTCATTGATCAGAGAACTGATGCACACACAATATGATGCACACACAATACTAGGTTTTTAAAGGTGTCATATTTCCCTATCTCCATTTGTTGGGAGACATATCTTCAAGTTCTCCCACTTCAAGTTCAAGCTAGTTCTGTCACTGAATATGGTCAGTGACAAATGGGGCCTCCATGGTTAGCTGCAGTGTACTGATGCTGGGAGCAAATAGAGTGTGGTACTATATCATGCCTTGCCTGAGGTTCCAGGGCATGTTGCTGGTTATTGCTACAAGCAGAATGCTGGAGTAGAAGAACCCTTTTTTTAATTCTTCAAGCTCTTGAGTCAAAGTGCAATGGGTTTCTTTGTGTTTTTCCCATAGCAAAACTGTCTTCTGAATAAGTTTGTTTTCATGCTCCTTTCTCAGGGCACCAGGCCAGCAGTCTTATTTTATTGCTGTCTTTATTATGACAAAATGTGGGCAAAACAAATTCCACAGTAGGTTTCACTAGTTAAATATTCTGAGGTGCTGTTCTGTCCTTTTATTGGGAGAGACAAAATAAAAGACCAGGCAAATTTCACACGGGAGGACTTTATAAATAAAGAAGGGCAGTAGTGCTCATTCACTCATTTTTCTCAGCAGCTGGAATCCAGAGGCATGCTCCTTTGATCCAGGAAGAAATGACTAGTGGCCAGTAATAGTAGCTTTATTCTCCACGAATTTGTCTAATTCACTTTTAAAGTCATCCAGTTTGGTGACCATTCAGGTTCTTCATTGTCCATTGCATATTTGCACATAGGAGGGGAAGGATTTTTAAAAGCCTGCTTTTATGTTTTTCTCTCTCTCTTCCTCCTTCTGTGACATTGGCCTTGATCCAGCATTGTCAATATAACTGCAGCTATAATGGCAGGGCGGGAGGAACTGTGATTGTAAAAGAAAAGGCAAGTTTTCTTAACTATAGGGCTTCCTTTAGGTTATCCTGGTGAGGCTTCTTGATTGGACTGGAAGAAACTTCTGGTCCAGTCAATTTCACTCTTAAGGTAAATTTAACTTGCATAGGAACTTTCCTCGCTTCTGTGAATAGGTTGTGTTAATGCACTAAAACGAAACAAGCCAGCCCAGTTCTGTTCACCACTCTTTAATAGACAACCACAACAATTGCAGCAAAATCTATACAAGTCTACTGAATGTCTCACTGACCTGGGCAAATCATTTCAGCATTCTCCTTTGAGAAAGGAGGATAGTGCTTGTGCTGTGATGCGCAATGCATGTTCGTAAAATGCTTGGAAAGCTTTGAATGAGAGGGACTGAGCTTGTGCCAAGTATGATGTATCAAAGGGGCAGCTCCTCTGCCTTGTGATCTGTGTCTCACAGAAAGGCAGGACAATCCCGGGTAGTATCCTTGGAAAGGGAGGCTGTCGTTTACAGGACATCACTCGCTGGTTTCCAAATTTTGCTTCTGCACTCCTGTCCGAATAAGGTTAGACGTTTCCTTTTGCAGCAACCGAGTCTCTTCCCTAGCTCCAATAAAGTTTGCTTATTTTGTTTTGTGGGTGGATGCATGAGAAGGGCAAGGTCACTTCAGAACAAATGTATCTCTGTGTGTATTTCTTGTGATTGCTGCCAGTGGAACAGTTTGCTAACTTTTTCCTCCTCCCTTTCCTGTAGATCTCATAAAGCACGGGCGAGAGAGGTTAGAACAGACCACCAAGACCTCCAGTTCCAGACTGTGTTCCTAGTGAGTATAAGGCTCTTTCTATTAGGGGGTCACTGTTGCTTTAAAGCTGAGCCTGATCATAATCTCCCACAAGCAATAAGCAGTGAATTGAGCTGGCTGGCACGGGGTGTGTTGCAGAGGGAAGCATCTCTTGCACAAACTGGGACTTGTTGCTCAGTATGGCTTTGTTGCTCAACTCTGCTTCAGATGAAGGCTTTTACTCATGCAGATGTAAGTAACGCTGCTAAATGAGATGTTTCAAAATGAGATCCTTTTGAGCGGTGATGTCTATTCACGGCATGCTTTGAAATAAGGGGCTTCTGTGGAACTGTAGGACTTACAAAATAAGGGAAGGGGTTTGGGCTGCCTCGCAATCTCTTGTAGAGAGGGGTGGAGAGAGTATTAAATGTCAAAAGGTTTTGTCTTGTAACTTTCCTGCTCGGTAGAAGGGGAAGCTTGATGGTCAGGATTTCCCCTGGGGCTTTAATAGCAAGAGTGTTCTTCCTATCAGCCTATCAGTAAGGGGGATGGATATTCACATTGTTTATATTCATGTGCTACAGTTTGTTTCACCTGGTTTTGTTGGCTGATATTCCTTATTTGGGGGGGGGGGTGGAGGGAAGGAATGTACAATATGAATGTCTGTCTCCCACCCACTAATAAGGGTTCCAATTGCCACTTGGAGGTAGCCTTTGATCAGCAAAATACTACAGATAGAGAAGGGTTGGACCTTCCCCTTGATTCAATTTTGCCAGCTCCCAGGGGCTGCTTTTATACTTTGAAAATGACACTGGCATTGTGTGGACTTTGGCCCCTAATTAAGGCACCTACAATGGGGATATGGCATCAGAAATAGCACAGCATGCATAAACATTGCATCTACAGTACCAGCTACTGTGTGCTAAAAGCAGGAAAGAGGACAGATGACTATTTTGCTGCTGAGGGTTTTGTTTCTTACTGTCTTGCATGGAGACAGGAGAGGGGTTAATTCTGTGTCCATCTGGTATGCCGGCTGAGACCCTACCTGCCTGCGCACTGTCTTGCCAGTCAGATGGGCGGGCTACATCATCTGTATTCAGTAATAATAAAATCTCAGTTATGGACTTGATAGAATACACACTTAATAAACAGCTCCCTCAGGTGTTATTTTTCCACCTATGGCTGACAACATCCCTCTAAGTTAGAATAACATCTGCGACTTGAGGGCTCTCCCTGTTGAGGCAGAGGCTAGAGTTGCCCTGCTTTCTACATCTCTGAAACTGACTGTTGTCTTGTTTTTCACAGTGCTGAAAGGGTTGCCACCTTAATGGACCGTTCCAAAAGCCAAGGTGACAGCCAGGTAAGGTCCTGGTACCTTCTTTCTTAAATGTATTTAGATGGGTTCAAATATGAAGGTGGAAAATTTTAAGCAGCTCAGTTCCTTACCTGTTCAAGGGTGTCTGCGGGGAGGGGGACTGGAAAGCCTCATCCATTGGAGTAGGCTTTGCTGGTATGCATTTACTGTACCAGAAAGCTCCACCTTCTCTCACACTGTTGATCAACCCTGGCGGTCTTAGCTAACGTCAGCTCTGTACTTCTGTCATTTTTCAGCCTTCATCGCCAACGGACAACATCAACCTTGGACCTTCTGCTAACCCCAAGTAAGTGCATGCAAAAGTCAACACATTTTGCAAGGTTAAGAAATGCAATGAAACTCTACTTCACTTTCCTTAATTTGCTCTTCTGGGGTGTCTGGAGCTCCTGAACACAACTTCTGTTTGCAAAACCGAAGTGTTGGATTGTAGGCAAGCCAGGGTAGTGGTGGGAGTTTTATCGTACCGTGTTGGTGACGTCACAGACACTAGCCAGTATATGGTCAAAATACATGCAACCCCACTCCTACCAGCACTCCAGGTAGCTGTGCCACTGTTAGCTGGGGGGGGGGGTGTCAAGTATTTCCATCAATGATATATTGCGGTTTGAGAGCTGGGAAAATGCAATGTCACTAAAACAAAAGTGCTTCCTCAAATTAAGACATTTGTATTGTGTGCAACAAATCAATATTGTTCATAAAGGTTACATAACAGCATCGAATGGGGTATAGCTATGTTGCTTGTTTTCACTATTCTTGTCACAACCCTTATCTCAGTAGATGCTTGGGACATACTATATTGCAGTCACACAACAGCAATGGATGTACCAACTGTGAAGGAAAAGAAATCTGTGTTTCTGTGAAGAAAATCGAATGCAGTTGGTTATTGCAACGACATTCCTGCAACAAAAGCAGAGCCTCAAGGGAAACATCCCCACTTATCCCAACAATTGTGTGATCTCTTTATCCTCCTAAAAGTGCATTTGTCCTCCTGTTGCCCACCCCCACAAGCTGTGTAACCCCAGCACATACATCTCCCAAACAATGGAATATAAAGCCTTAGCATCAAGACAAGCCAATCTTCTTTTGCTGGGGAGAGACGAAGAGCTCTAACTACACTCTTGGCCAGAGATTGTGGGTCAGCTTTAATACTTTGGGAAACTTGGGCTTGTGAGATCCCCAGTCACTCCTTCGTTCTCTGGCTGCGAGTTGTCTCCTACAAAGGAGGGTGGGCATCAAGCTTGAGAACATCTGCTTTGCTTTTCCCCTAGAACCCCAAGATCCACTAGCTGGACCGAAGTACAAAACAGTGGCTTAGAGACAAGGGACAGAGATGCATATAGAATTGAGGAAGAGGGCACATCTGGGTGCACTTTAGGCTAGACATTTGTTTGCAGTGCTGAGCTGATGGGCCCTTCACACACATTCTGGGTATCCCCTCCAGCCTCAAATTTCTTTGTTATAGTGGACTAATTTAGGGGAAAGCTCCTATTGTTAAAAGAATTGGGAATCCAAAATATTTGGTGATCAACTATGGATCACCCAGAGATCTATATTCTGCCCATCCCTAGTGTTGTTTTGGATTTGTTTGGAAGGAAGAGCCAGATAGAAATGTTGTTGTTGCTGTTGTTGTTGATACAGTTCTAGGAGCTCTGAAACAGATTTGTGTAGAGTAGGACAGCTTTGGAATCCATGTTACGATCCCTCATGCTCATCTACTCCTAATAATTAGCATTTCCAGCAGGGGTGGGGTAGCTGCAGCCCTTCAGCTGTTGTTTAGCTCCCAGCTCCCACCAGCTGCCAGCCAGCCTGGCAAATTTTCAGGGTTGATGGGAGTTGGAGTCCAACCACATCTGGAGGGTCACAGATTCCTCAGCCCTGGTACTCAAGTTTGGAAGCAAAGAGGGCTTCAGGTTTGTGTATACAGATAATCCCTAATATAATAGCCATTAACCCAAATATCCTTTCTATCATTTCCATGTGAGAGATTATTTTACTGTGTTTGTATCTGAACCTTTTGCTCCTATTTTCTGCTTGGTTTTCCAAAATATGTACCTTAAGCTACAACAATGCCAAGAGAATAGCAGGTTATCTACGGTAGTTATGAAGAGTTGAATGTCTGTAAGAACGGTAGTGGTAGTCAGCTGATGTTTACTCAGAATAGACCTATTGAAATTAATGAACATGACTAAGTTGGGTCCATTAATCTCCACTCTGAATAAACCTTAGCTGACTACCATCCCGTGTCTTTATCTGCCAGGACAGAATGACAGAATTGAGGAAAGGTTGCGGTGGGGAGAATCTAGCTGACTGAAGAAAAGAGCTTTGTGTGTTTTACTCTGTTTCCTTTTTCTAACAGTGCCAAGCCAACAGATTTTGACTTCCTAAAGATAATTGGCAAAGGTAGCTTTGGAAAAGTAAGTGGCCTAGTTTGCAAGAATTTTATTTATTTACTTTTATTACTGTGTCAATGACACGTGGCAACCATCATCCCATTTCTTTTCCCACTTTGCTTTCATATGCATGGCTTCTGGTGTTTTTGAACCGGTGCCCTAAATTCTAGCATTTGTACCCACAATGTGATTCTTCCCCTCCCCATTTGTTATTGCTATTCCTGCTCTTTAGTCTGCCGCTCCCTTTTGCCATCTTAAAGTAAGGAGCTAGAATGCAATCTGGAGAACAGATCCTTCAAGGGACTCAGGGTTCTGAACCTAGTCCCCATCTTTATCTTCTCAACCATCCTGTTAAGTGACCATCATGGCTTGGCAGACATTTGAACTAGAACTCCCTAAGTCTTAGCCCGACATGCTCTCTCACAGCATCTCACTGGTACCTTTAAAGGGCCCGTTTTAATAATGAAAGTCGTATTAAGAAGTTTCAATGCCATTCTCTTTTCAATTTTACTTTTGTGCCTAAGGTAGGGAGCAGTTACTGTGTGCAATGGATTAATTAGTGATAAGCTGCTGCTGCTGCTCTTGATTATTGGAAATCCAAAATATGTTCAGTTATGCATCGATTCACCCCAACACCAACACCAAATTGTTCCTAGGAATGGGGCCTGCTGATTGGCACAATGGAGGAAGCAAAGTCTCCCTGCCCTGTACATTGTGCAGCTGCCAACTTGGCATGCCACTGTAATGTGAACATAAAACACTGACCAATTAGTTAAGGACATGAAAGCTGGACACTTCTCTTACCCCCTCGGTTTTTCAATCCCGCTTCAGGTCCTTTTGGCAAAACGCAAATCTGATGGGAGGTTCTATGCTGTGAAAGTTCTGCAGAAGAAATCTATTCTCAAGAAAAAAGAGGTATCATTTCAAAGGAATCTACTTGCACTTTCAGCAAATGAGTTTTATTACTCTCTCCCTATGCTCTGTGCCCCCCTCTCTGTGTGTGCGTGAGAGATTCTATCTGTGTCTATATCTGCAGGAGCACAACTCTTAATAGCTCTTCAGGTGAATAATTTCTGAGCTTGGAAAGCTATTTTATACTTGCCATCTCCCTGGAGTCAGCTACATTCTTTAAAAAAAAAGTGTTTAAAATGCATTATAACACTGGGACACTAGATGGCGCTGTGGAGTTCTGTCTTTCAGCAACGTTATTTCCCATTACGATGTTTACAACGCGTTACAATGCGTTTTCCTGAAACATTTTTTGCTTGTGTCTAGATCCAGCCTCTATCCTAACCAAAAAACATGGTCTGCCATTGGTGAACTGCATCACAACACTAAATGTGTCCCTTGTAGATGAATGAATTGTTCTTCTTTCTTTCTTTCTTTCTTTTACTCTATAAATTGCACTTGTGGGGGTCTCAGGGATGGAAAAAGAATCCATTTCAAATGGGTTTATACACAGAAATTTGGCAGTCACAACCTGACTGCTTCATTGAGCTTCCACTTATGTCGGAGCACTCATGCATTTATTTTTATTTTTAAAGCCTGACTAATTATATGCAAAATTATACATACATTATACTTGTAATATGTATGAGAGTCAGCCCTTGTAGAATAATAAGCATTTTCATACAGTTGTATGCATTGTATGTATAATAATGCAAATAATATACGAGAATATTTTGCATTTTTGTTGGAGCCAGCAAAACTCTTCTTGTTGAGATCAAAGAGTAAGGTGGGAATGAGAAAAATAAAATTGGTGTATAGAAGCTGAACATCAAGATTTTCAGAAAATCCCATCCATGGCTCCAATTAGGACCCCAGCTCTCGCTCGGGGGGGGGAGGGGGGGAACCATTTCCTCCCATGCCAGAGATCCATTTAAAATTCCTCCTTCCCTTGAAGTTGCTGTTAGGCTTTGCTAAAGACATTTATGTATATGTGTGTGACTGTAGTGAATTTAATTTTGAAACGAAACAAAACTTGATCTGTGAACTTAGCCCTTCCTCCCTCCCTCTCTTTCTCTCTCTCTCTCTCTCTCTGTCTCGGTTCTTCATAGCAAAATCACATAATGGCAGAACGCAATGTGCTCCTGAAGAATGTGAAACATCCTTTCCTTGTGGGGCTCCACTATTCCTTCCAGACCAAAGAGAAACTATACTTTGTACTGGACTATGTAAATGGAGGAGAGGTGAGTGAGTGTCAGTTTTTTGCATCACGCAGAGCATTGGGTTCTGTCAGTGCTATCATTCTGGGCTTTACCTTCAACGTGAATAGGTGCAATATTAAAAGTCTTCTGAATGATTTGGCATATGTTCAGTTCTAGTTATCATATTTAATACGCTGTACCCCTGTGGTCTTCAACTTTTTCAAACTTAGGACTACTTACTTATTCATTCATTTAGACCATTTGTACAGCACTCTTCAGCCAAAATATCTCCCAAAGCATCTTACAAACAATCAACATAAGGCAGTCCCTGCCGGCAGGCTTACAATCTTAACAAAACACGACAGACAAGGGAAAAGGGACAGTGAGGGATGTTAGAGAATTCCAACGAAAATGGAAACAGGTGAAGAAATTGCTTGTGGTCACTTATTCATCTGATTGCATTCTCTCTCCCCCCCTCCCCCCATTTGCACTGAAATGAATGGTGTAGAACAACATAATGACAACATAATGTATGTAATTAATTACATAATTTATATAAGCTACGTAATTTCCCCAGCCCAGTGCATCCAGATGTCTTGTACCACATCTCTGATGGGAAGAGTTGAGGTTCAAAACATCTGGAGGGCACCAGGTTGCTGTGTTCCTGAAATAGCCGAGGAATAGGGCATCGGGTTGAATACTGAATACTTGGTATTCCATGAGTGTGGAATAATGAAGCTGTTTTCTGAGGAAAGTGTGTCAAATCCAAAACCCTGTTATAAGCAACCTGTTAAGTCTCTTGATTCAGGCATAGAGGTACTTACGGAATAAGTTTTCTCCAGCCTCAAATTCTCCCATCTTGGTTCATAGCTCTTCTTCCATTTGCAAAGAGAACGTTGCTTCTGTGAACCCCGAGCCCGATTCTACGCAGCTGAAATGGCCAGTGCGGTGGGCTACCTCCATTCACTGAACATCATCTACCGGTACAGTATTTTTGCAATAACAGCAGGTAGCTTTAGTAAGATATATTAAGATGTTTCATAGGAAGCAATTTCAAGAATGCTGCTGCTGCTGCTGTGATACATTAAGGTTGGAGTGTTTTTTTTCCAGAATAGTGTTGCCTTTAAAGAAGATAAAATTTTAACTCTTCTTTTTTTAAAAAAAAGAATAGTTTGGAATGTCAACCTCCCCACCCCACCCCCACCTCGGCCACTAAAGAGTTGATGAACTAGATTAGTAGCAGTCAAGAGGCAATCCTCCATATCACTAACCATTCCCTGTTTGTCCTAATGTGTTTCTTTCCCACCCTAGAGCCACTTAACAGGGGGGTGGGAAACCTATACCCCTCCTGTTGTTGTACTACAGCTCCCATTATTCCTGGCAACTGGCCATGTTGGCATGGGCTGATGGGAGCTGGAGTCTTACACAGCAGTGCAATTTTCCATCACTTTTTTAATCGGCCCCTTCAAGGTTAGAAGAGTAGCAGGATGTCTGCACTAAAAAGTGTGGCATAATGACCAAATATTGTGCCAATGAACAGATGATCTAGAAACGCTAGAAAATAAAGCAAGTGTATAAGAGAACTGATTTCATTGGTATGTGAAAGGTAACTCTGGAGACTTTTTGGAGTCTGCAAGATGTAATTCTTTTAACAGATACATCTAAGCACTTGAAGCTGGAGAGGAGGATTCCCTGAAATCCCACCAGTTTTTAATCACCATATTCCCACCTCCCTTATTCTCTTTCCTCCTTTCTTTAGGGACTTGAAACCTGAAAATATTCTCTTGGATTGTCAGGTATGTATTTATGGATTCTTGCACATCACTGTGTGATCTACTTCAGTTGTTATTTGTTGGTAGGAAAAGTTTTGTAATTATACTGGGACAACCAAGTCAAATAGGAATGCAAAAGTGGCAAAATATGGAATACAGCTTCCTAAGAAGCTCAGTATTTCTCCTTTTTCTTTTAGGGCCATGTTGTACTGACTGATTTTGGACTTTGCAAAGAAGGAATGGAGCCAGAGGAAACAACATCTACTTTCTGCGGCACCCCAGAGGTATGATTATGAAAACACATCTATGTGTTTCAATAGGTGATTTTGCCTCTGCTTTGACTTTTCCAAGGATCTGAGCACCACCACTGAGAATGGACTGTGCCAGCTGAGTAGGCTTTTTAGTCCTGTAGGCTTACACGGAGTAGCCCCTACTGATGTTGTTGTGCCATGACACACAATGCAATTCTCTAAATCTGGGATCACGAAACTAGTCATGGGCATTGTGGTACTATCAGACACCCCTTGGTGCCTGCCAAAGCCCTCTGCCCCTCTCAAGTTGTGATTTATTTATTTTTTAATTGAGGTTAGGTGTTCGTTCTTTTTTTCTTTTTTAGAATAAGTGATAGTAGGATTGATGGAAAATGAAATGCAAGCAACAGCCAGATACCCATGCTCTTATGGGACCCATATGGAGATGCATTGCCCATTTTCTGCTTGCCCATTTGTTTTGCCTGATTTTTTTGTGGGGGGTGTTGCAGGATGTTTTGACTGCTTTGGTTTTTCGGGGGTTGGCTGTTTGTTGGAAGGTGCTTTTTGTTTGGGGGTTGCTGCTTGTTTTTTTTTAAAATCTGTGTTTGTTTTGGAGTGTGGGTAGATGTTTTGCTTATTGTTTGCCCTTTTTCCATATGTGAAATGGGTATTCTGTGGTGCCCATGACACTTACTTACATTTCTTAATGTGCTACCTGGCCCCCAAAAGTTGAAGATGTTATGTACAGAAGTTCTCACCCTGGGCCAGCAGGGGGATACTGTAGATAGTTTTCACTCAGGTCCACATATGCAAATAAGGGATTGAAAGTGACGTTCAGTGATTGGATAGTTACAGAAAGTGGTTACTGTATCGTTGTAGTGGAGCTCTATATAAGCAGGCTGCCTGAACCCTTCAGTTTAGTTCTATTCTGGCCTGTGAATAAACAAGAGCTGTTTGAAGAATCGCTGTGTTGTCTGATATGTTCACCCACAACTTAACAGAGGACATCTGCTCTAAATCTAAAACAAACAACAGTCAAAGTACTGAATCTGAAGCTGCAAATTGGTCCCCTTCTCTTCTCTGCCAGTTGTGTGAGCTCTGTAGGGACAGTGAACATCATGAGCTGAAGTAACTTATAATTCTGTTAGGAGGAGCTGAAAGTGTCATAACTATGAATTAAGGCCTGAATTGGAGGTGTGAGGCTATGCTCCCATTTAAAACATGCTGGGTAATTTTAACAAGCCACAGCAAAAACAAAAAAGGGTTGTTCAACTTAACTTGAAACTGGATGGGTTGAATTTCTCCTATCCTTTTTCCTCCCCAACCCGTACTCCAATGAGAATTTAGAAGCACTATACTTTATGACAGGGGTAGGGAACTTGTGGCCCTACAAATGTTGTTGGACTCCCATCAACCCCAGCCAGCGTGGCCAATGGACAGGGATGGTGGGAGTTGTATGTTTTCATTTGAAAGCACGAGGCAACAGTCTGTCACATAAATAAGCTTGAATCCTCCAGATGTTGCTGGACTACCAATCAAGGATACCTATGTGATGCTGTGGTCTAAACCACTGAGCCTCTTGGGCTTGCTGATCAGAAGGTTGGCAGTTCAGATCCCTGTGATGGGGTGAGGTCCTGTTGCTCTGTCCCAGCTCCTGCCAACCTAGCAGTTCGAAAGCACGTCAGTGCAAGTAGATAAATAGGTACCGCTGCGGCAAGAAGGTAAATGGCATTTCTGTGTGCTCTGGCTTCCATCACGGTCTCCCATTGTGCCAGAAGCAGTTTAGTTCAGCTGGCCACATGACCTGGAAAGTTGTCTGTGGATAAACACTGCCTCCTTTGGTCTGAAAGCGAGATGAGCGCCGCAACCCCATAGACGCCTTTGACTCAACTTAACCATCGAGGGGTCCTCTACCTTTTTCACCTTACCTATGTGGCTTCTGGAAAGTTACTGGGATACTTCGTGGTGGTGTGCTCTGTTTTTAAATCTTCTTGTCCTTTCACAGTATTTGGCTCCAGAAGTGCTGAAGAAACAGCCCTATGACAGAACTGTAGACTGGTGGTGCCTTGGAGCTGTTCTCTACGAAATGTTGTTTGGTTTGGTGAGCTTTCAAAAACTGACGTTGCTTTTGCAGGCAACAGTTCAAGTGCTGAAAGTGGTTTGAAAGAGAATCCTAAGCTGTGGGCAAGCCGATTTAGACCACAGGCAACAGTGGGACAAACGGCTTTTACAGGTGGTTTGGAGCAACAGAAAAAGCTGTCATCCTGTTTAACCAGATGCAAAAAGCAGAGGTGTTTATACCCATTTACAATGATCCCTCATTCAAGCCACTTTCAGCTCTCTGGGAAGAAGTCCCATTCCACCCCACCCCCGGCCTCTTTAATAATGCTATAATCCAGAGACATTCAATGAAGCTGAATGTTGGGGAGACACAGGAAGCACAGAAACAACAAAGTTTGAATACGGAATTTGCTACCACAAGGTGTGGCGATGGTCACCAACTTGGACAGCTTGAAAAGGGACTTAGACAAATTCACAGGCTTCTGATGGCTACTGGTTATGGTGGCTACATTGCCTCCAGTATCAGATGCAATATGTTGTTGTTGTTTAGTTGTGTCCGACTCTTCGTGACCCCATAGATGCAATATGCCTGCCTCTAACTACCAGTTGCTGGGAATCACACGTGAGAGAGGCTATTGCAATCATGTCGTCCTTGCAAGCTTCCTTTAGGGACTTGTGGGAACAGAACACTGGACTTTGATCCAGCAGAAGTTTGCCATATGCTAACTCACACTAGTCTTACACTATTGACACGAGCCTGGCTCCTCCTTACTCCTCTGTGCCAGTGGAATTAGCTCAATTAGCCCAGGCATAGCTATTTTCTGGGACAAAAGTTGACCGTTCAGCAGCTGCTGTATCTGACTGTTGATTTGTGTTTGTAGCAATCTGTTGCAAACAGTGTCACAAATTGGTGCACCATATATGAACCGTAATTATATGATTCCCAGCTGTGTTTGCTACCTTTTGCTTGAGTGTAGGTTAGACTGAGGTCGCGTTAATAAAACAGAGCAAGCTGTGGACTGCATGCTTAGTCATTGCTAAGCAACTGAGGATTTATCTGAAACATTCCACAGTAGTATATGAAGCAAAAATTTAAGAAGCACTATCCCCTCCGTTTCCTAGCTCTCCTGTTGAACTGTAGAAAAAGAACAACTAGCATGAATTTGATGTCTCTGCAATATTGCAATGCATGCTTATGCAACTTGACTTTTCTCCTTCTTCTTCTTCTCCCCTCCCACTTCTCTCCTATCAGCCTCCATTTTACAGCCGGGATGTGTCTCAGATGTATGATAATATTCTGCACAAGCCACTTCAGATTCAAGGAACCAAGACCATAGCAGCTTGCGATATCCTGCAAGGACTTCTCCATAAAGATCAGAAGAAGAGGCTGGGAGCCAAGACAGACTTTGTACGTTTAGAGCGCTAGTCACCATTACTCATTCCTTGTTTTCACTAAGAATTTCATCCTTCCCCAAGAGAGCAATATTTCAACACCTGTTGAAACACCTGCAGCCTCCCATTTTCTGTGTCAGTTATTGGCTGATCTGCACTGTCCCCTGTCACCTTTGCTGCTCTCTTGTCAGGTTGTCTCCACGTCCTTCACTTTTGTCCTTCTGCCTTGCATTGATTGCAAAACCCCTACGATGTGACCATGTCATTTCTACGTTTTAGGGGACTAGAGACTGCTGCTGCTGTGTAATCAATGTTTCATATTAGCAGCTAGCAGTGGGTGAATCTGTCAGTCTTGGTTTCTCTCTGTTTCTCATTTTCCATCATTAGGTTCAGTCTTTCACATCAGTTTACATTTTTTTTTAAAAAAGTCATCATGAAAATTAATTGCCATTTTAGCATGAATTTCTCCTAACACATTTGTATGGAATTTCTCCTAATATTTTTGCAAACCAAAAAGCATTTTGTATCTTGTTTTCCTTAATATATGCATTTTTATGCACGCTTTGCCCTAGTATATGCATATTTTGCACACATACTTTGGCTGGAGAACTGCACTGCAAAATTTGTAGAAGTGCGAATTCTTTGGGTGCATTGGAAAGGGTGAATGAAATAGGTTCACCTTTAAATGTGAACTGAACTGAAATTATTTTCCCATTCCTTTTCCCATTCCTGTTAGCAGCAGTGATAATAACTCCAAGGATAATAACTCCTCCAGACTGGTATTTTTTTAAAATGTGGATGTATTCTGCAACATGCCATGGCCACAATAACGGTACATGAGTGGTGGATTTATACAGACTCGTTCACATATCATTCTGCTATATTAGTTGTTTCGCAGTGTTTCTCCAATGTTACCCTATTATTGCTATCTGGAAGGGCACTATTGCAATTTGGTGCAAGAAAAGTGGGACCAAAAACATGGGGACATTTTATATCACAGCAGGTATTTACAAGATATACACTGATTGAAAATGAAGCAATGAGTGGTATTCAACTAAGTTTTACTTACAGCAGACCCACTGAAATGAGTGAACATGGGTAAGTTATGCCCGTTAATTTCAAAGGGTCTACTGAGTAAAAACTTAGCGGAATACCACCCAGTATGTACACACCAAGGCTTTTGAAAGCAGGACCACGTATAACTGCCCTGATACCATCATGAGCACAAATCATCATGAATGCACCATAAAAAGGATGTCTGGGGAAACCCAAGGACGAGTAGAAGCAGTATGGGGATAAGATCAGAACACATTCAGTACAGAGGGCTACTGCTAACTTTCATAGTTAGCAGTATTTAATTGGCTGCTAGTGATCGCTTTCCTTGCATACTATGATACTTGAAAATATGTCGACATTTTCGTATGCATTTCTTGCTTTGCCCACATTGCAGCTTGATTTTGTATGTCGGTGCTGCTGCTTTTTCTTGATTAATGTACTGTTTTTGGAAATTATATGCATGCAAATACATATTGCTGACTGTGTTTACAGAAAGCTGTGTTCACCTGCGCTCTGCAGGAGGGAAGTTCTTAAGAGATCTCAGATGAGCTGAGAGATGGCCATGGTGGTGCTGGTTTTTTGAGGTGGGGGGGATGCATGGAAATTTAAATGTACAGGTTTTTGTGAGTAGATACAAGTGAATGTGCCCAACATCTAAGTTCTAAGAATTTATGGCTTACTCTGGAGTGACATTCATTTTCTTCACAGCTTGAGATAAAGAACCATGTGTTCTTCAGTCCAATAAACTGGGACGACTTGTACAGTAAGAGGATCACGCCTCCATTTGACCCTAAAGTGGTAAGTGGAAAGTTTTCTACTTCGTAGCGATGAATAGAGACTGGGCATTATTTATTTTGAACTGTTTTATCCCGCTTTTCAGGAGAAAATGCTTCTAGAGCAGCTTACAGATAGCAAGGGGTAAGACAGTCCCTGCCATCAAGCCTGCAGTCTAGAAAGACACAAGAGGAAAATGGATGGGATAGCAAGTTCAGGCACTGCTTCTTATTGTAATAACCAGCTGGAATAGAACAATTTGGATAGGATGAGCCAAGAGTTACTAGTATTTTCAGTGGAGCCAATGGAGAGCCCTTGTTGTCCCATCTTCCTCTTTCCTAGAGCCTGATGGAATTCTGCAGTTGGGGGAGGATCTTGATGGAACATTAATAAATGCTTAAAGAGATCACCTGCTCCATCTTCTTTTAGGATTTCTGGGGCAGAACCTCCCCCTCTCCCCAAGATCATACAATCCAAGGCACGGTAACTTGTGGTTCTTCAGATGTTGCTGGACTATAAATCCCACCCTCTTTGTCCATTGGCCATGCTCATTGGGGCCAGGGGGAGCCGGCATGCAACAACATCTGGAATGCCACAGGTTCCTCATGCCTGATATAACTGGTCAGGGAGCTTCCTGACTTCATCGGATTGTAGAGTTGGAGGGGATTCTGATGGTCATCTAGTCCAACCACTTGTGATGCAGGAATCGGAGCTAAGCTTGCAATATGCTGGCCAAGTCCAAGCATCATAGCCATGTGTTGGTCATTGGGGTTGCATAATATCATTTGCCTCTCAACCAGGGTTGGAAATGGTATCCAGTTCTGGTTTAGAAGAGCCATAGTTTGCTCAGGCTTGACATAACATAACAATTGCCCTCGTGTCCTGTCTGTGGGCTTTCAGCAGGTATCTGGTTGGCCAAAGTGGAAAATACAATGCTGGACTTGACAGGCCTTTGGTCTGATCCAGCAGGGATCTTCCTATGTTACCATCTCCTCTCTCATTGGTAATAATAAAAAACAGTATTAGTATTGCTGTCATAAGCTGAGGCTTGCAGAATAGAGAAAAAATAACTTGTTGTTCCTTTTCAAGGCTGGTCCTGCTGATCTACGGCATTTTGACCCAGAATTTACTCAGGAAGCGGTCTCCAGCTCCATCATCCGTACCCCCGACTTTGCTACCAGTAGTTGCAGTGCAACAGATGCTTTTTTGGGATTTTCTTATGCACCAAATGATGAAGACTAAAGCAACCTATGTCAACAAGGCTTGAGAAACCCAGTTTTTGCTCTCCATTTAAACAGAGAGGAAGCCACTACCCTCTGACTAATCTTCTAACTGGAACAGAACCAAGCTTTCCTTCCATGACATATAAGACCTCATAATGTGAATGCTCCTCTAAAGGAGGAAGTGCTGATTATTCTAGCTAGAATTGTTTTATTTGTACAAACTTGAACACATTTAATGATACAATCTTGTGCCAAAATTGATGTCCTCTTATGAGAATGCAGGCGAACCTCTGTTTGAATTGCCACCCAAGGTATTCTGGATAACCAGCTGTTCTGGGCTCAGTGGGTTTATAGTAGGTATACTTCCTGTTCAGACATTTTGTCACCTTAGTTTGTGGTTCACCTCAATTGGGTCCATGTTCTGGCTACATACTCTTACTCTGGCTACATACTCTTAGCCAATGTAGTTCATATGTTGTTGGACTACAGTTCCCATTATCTCCAAGCTTTGGACATGCGAGCAGGGGATGATGGGAGTTGTAGTCCAACAACATTGGTTGCTACAGGGGATTCTTAGAAAAGACCTTTGGAACTATCCAGAGAATCCAGGAATCCCCTCCCCAATTCCTTGTAGCTGGTCCTTTTACAGCTTTTGCACAGAACTGTGTATTTCCAAATTGATTGCCTCTGGAGCTTTCTTTCTTTCTTTTTTTCCTTTCAGTATTATGAACCACAGGTGATGCCACCTACAATTTGCATGAGTGTTTCTTTTCACAGCTGAAAGCATTGCTCTCCAGCTAAATGGCACTGATGGGAGCAGCTCTATCGCACCACACCTGTGCTAGATACAGTGATTTGTGATTTTAACTTGGAAATGTTGATAGCACACGGCTTACATTTTTAGTAATTGTATTTATTTCCCCCTTTTATCTGGAAGGTGTGTAGTGATAAGCATCTGGTCATAACTACCTCTTTACTGCATAGATAGAGAACAGCCAATGGATTTTCTTTTTACGAAGATAAATTAAGGAAAAAATATAGGTCTGTTTTTTAAAAAAGACCTGCCTATTAAGAACTCCTGAGCAGAGATGAATTGTACCAATGTGTGATCTTTTATTTACAAAACTGAGAGCTGGTGCAACTATAGCTGCCACAGGGAGTAGTGTCATTACCCTCATTTTATACAAAATTGTTACCTGTCCCAGGATGTTTCTATGGAACCCTTTAATCATTGATCTCTTAGTCAAAATCATTTAAAATTATATATTCTTCTTATGCTGGTAAGGGATCTTCCTACAAAACATGGATATAAAGGTATTGGATTAAGTAACAAAGCAGGCTGTTTCTGGAAATAAATTTCCCCTGCTACCAGCTAAAGGTAAAACACACCCACCCTGATGAATTATGAAGGTGGGATGTGTTGAGGTGACTAGAATGGGCTGCCAGTATACATATAAGCACAAGTGTGAATGTCATTGCCAACCTGAAATAATGCAGAATGATAATTTTTATTTTGCTGTTTAAAACAGCACAAGGATCAAGGTGCAAACTTGGGGTGTGGAGGATTCAACTGTGATAATATATACTACAGAAATAACTGCCAGTTTTGGTGCCTTTGTACCTCTTAAAACACCTGCCTTTAAAAACAAAACACTATGTCCATGTTTAGCTTGAAAAGCATCCACCATCTCTGTGCATTTTAATTTTTAGACACTATGGACGTTTATCTATGTGTTAAGAAATGTGTCTAGTGTCCAAGCTTGCTGCGGGATTTTCTTTTTGCTTGCTTGCTTGCGTTTGTTGTCAAGGCTATGGTGGGGGGAAATATAATAGTGCTTGCATGACTGCTCCTCTTTGAGTGTCGTGGATATGCTGATATAATTCCATAATCATGTTTAAAGATCCTTGCATTTTCTCTTATGTTCTCTTCCTAACCCCAGTTTTTATTTTGTTGACTATTTAAGAGTTTAATAAATAAAATAATATATTTTAAAGCAAACTGTTGCATGACTGATAAAAAACACAGTGGCTGTTTTTTATGGTAATGTTTAGGTGGCTGTGTAAAAAGTAACCATATTTTTCTGTCCTTTTTAACATCTGTCCAAGATCTTAAGTACTAAATGCAAACTAGACAGTAAAGGGAACAACAAGGTTCCTTAATGCTCACCATTTAACTGTGTACACATCAGCCTAGCTAAGTTACCTTTCCCTACACTGGAATTCCAACCCCCGCTCACAGACTTCATGAATATTTCTGGGAGTCTCAGCAAAGCACTTAATAAACTTTTTTGGTATTCTACAAACTGAAGCACATTGCTTGTTTTTAGTAAGCATAGTCTTGCCTTACTAATGTGACGTATCTGCTTTTTCTTTAACAGCTGCAAAATAATATTTGCATCATTGTACGGAAGCAAACATCGCTTCCCTTTCACTCTTAATGCTACCCGATGAAACCCTTAGGAGCACACATCTGACAAACTGACCAATAAATAAATAAATATACAAGCAGGGAAGCAGATACTAGTGATAATCATTTTCACAGGTTAGTTGACCAGCAAAATGCAACTAAAGCTATCCTCAGAAAGGATATTCTGGAGTTCAAAAAGTTTCAAAAAAAGGGCAACCAAAATTATCAAGGGGGTGGAAGAACTCCCTTATAAGGAAAGTTTGCAGCCTTTGGGACTTTTTAGTTTAGAGAACAAATGAAGAGGTGACATGATAGAAATTTATGCATGGCATGGATACAGAAAGGTTTTTCTTTCTCTTTCATAATATTGTGTACAGCCAATGAAATTGAATGTCGGGAGATTCAGGACCACTGAAAGAAAATATTTCATGCAGTGCATAGTTAAGCTATGGGGCTATAATGGCTTTCATATACAATTAGACCGCCATGAATCTGTCTAGCAATGTCTACTAGCGGTGGTGCAGGCAGTATGCTTCTGAACACCAGTTAATGGAAATCACAGCTTTCCTACAAGCACCTGGATATTGGGATAGATGGGCCACAGGCATGACCCAATACTAGGCTCTTCTTATTTTCTTATCCTCACCTGAAAACACACAAGGTAGTCTTGACACATGTATTAGAGAATAATTGAAATGGGTTGGGATTCAGTTCCCTAGCCTGCATGTTTTGCAATACAGTGGTACCTCGGGTTACAGATGCTTCAGGTTACAGACTCCGCTAACCCAGAAATAGTACCTCGGGTTAAGAACTTTGCTTCAGGATGAGAACAGAAATCGTGCTCCGGTGGTGCGGCAGTAGCGGGAGGCCCCATTAGCTAAAGTGGTGCTTCAGGTTAAGAACAGTTTCAGGTTAAGAACGGACCTCCGGAACAAATTAAGTACTTAACTTGAGGTAGCACTTTATAGCCCAAGTAATGCACCCATCTTCAAATGGTCATTATTGGAATACACTAGAGAGGGGGTGCAATTCTGCACATTGACCTGAAAGCCTCTCATCCCTTGGTTCTGTCTTGCAAGCAATTGCAAACTCTCTTGGAGTTTTCTCTTCCATAGCAGGTGAGAACAAACCATAGGCATGACATAAGCAGGCGTGTGTGTTGGAGGAGTGGGGAAGAGTGAGGGCTCAAAATGGCAGTGTGTGCTAGTTTACTAAAGACAGTCCAGTTTAAAGATAAAAAAGCTTTAAGAAAGGGCAGGGCCAACAACTTTCAGCACCCGAACAACAGACTGAGCAAGCAACACAGGTTATCGTCTCCCCACGGTGGTGAGATATATTGTATTTCTCTTTAAAACAAAGCAACTATTTCTGAATTTGTACCTATACATAGTATGTGCCAATGTCTGCCCTTTTGTGTGTGCGTTTCCTCTTTTTTGCAATATGTAATTAGCTGCCATTGTGTGGGAGGGAGACTCCTTTTTATTTATTTATTGTTTGCCAGTAAACATAAAACATAAACGGGTACAAGTTGCCAAGAGAGCTGACGCGACAACACAAGGAATAATGACAAAATAACCAACAGAAGAATACAGTACATGTTAAGAACGTGCTGCTACTCAGCACGAAAGTGAGGAGGGGGGAGAATGAGATTGCTGGGATTTAGGTCTAACCCTTCAAGTCACACTACACCACATCCAGTGCCCTCTGCTGTTTCCAGAACTCTTCCAAAGCAAAAAACAACAACACACGTTGCCAAGAGAGATTTTCCCTGCTCCTGCCGCTGCCGACGATGGCGGACTCCCCTCCACCATCGAGAATGGAAGATTCCACCGCTGAATGAGCCTTTTCCCTGTAGCTCAAGGAGACTCTAGGCGGGCGTGTGTCGTCATCACGTCGGACGCAACGCGGCTTTCCCTTCCTCTCCCCCGCCGCCTGCTTTTGCCGGCGAAGCCGCTTTGGGCGCCTGCGCAGACGGAAAGGGCTCCCGTTGCTAGGGAGGGAGAAGGCCCTTAGTTACCGGGCGTTGCTGCTGCTCCGCGGTTGGAGGGGACGGGGAAAGGATGGTGGCGACTCCGCAGGTAAGTCAACTTTTGTGGTGGCGGTGGAGAGGTGCTTCCCCCTCCCTCGGGACCATTTATGGAGGCGGAGGGTTACTTTGTAGGCACGACCCTGGCTCCCCTCACCTTGGGACCTTGTAGAAGTCCGAGCTGGTAAATTTTAGTTGCCTCCCGCCTTTCCGTAGCCAGAAAAACCATGCTGAAAGGCGGCTTACAAACGGGGGACGGGGCGGGAATTGCATAATTACAAACATAGCAAAAGCAGGCAGGAGCAGTAAATAAAACACGTCCAAAAACATGCAATCATATTGGAAAATTCCCACATAAATCATCATAAGATCCAAAACAAATGTACAAAAAAAATCAATAGCAGCAACAAAAGCCCCCTCAAACAAACATTACCCCAGTCCAAAAGTCCTCTTGAATTTGATTTTTTAAAAAATAGGATACATGGAAACCACCATCAAATCACAGATCAAATCTGCACCTAACAGACTAAATCATACAGAATCAGAGAATTGTAGAGTTGGAAGCAACCCTGAGGATCATTTAGTCCAACCCCCTGCAGTGCAGGAATAGATCCCACACTCTGTGGTTGCAGCAAACTTGCAATATTTTTATACTGATTCCCCCCCCCCCAAAAAAAACCCCTACTATTAAAAACATGACATCTGTAACGTGTCAGCCAACACCAGAAACATTGTGGCATGGTCTGAGGATACAGATGTAATGTGATTTGATGGTGGTTTGAGGGAGAGGCTCCTGTTCAAGAATCTGTAAGGATCTGTGCCCCCTAGGCCTAGATCCAATGGTTAATGCTGTTAATGTGAAGCACTCTGAGGTGCTGCCTGTGACAACAGACGCCATAGTGGTTTTGGTGGCATTCTGTATAAATCCTATGTGAAAAATCTGCCCAATGCCTCAGATCCATGTTTTCGTGCCATGGCTGTGTCAGAAAATACCAGCTACATCATGATTCTTCATGCTTCAGCCTCTGGAGAGGGAGATTCTATAATGGGATTAAGATAAACTTTTGTAAAAATGCAATTTCAGGCAGATTGTTTTTTAATTACTAGATGCAACTCCTACTTGCTTCCAAATATTCTTACTGTATTTCTGTTCCTCAGTGCCAAATCATAGACTTACTGATAGAATTACCCTCATTTTTCAAACTACAAATGCTTAGGAAATCTCAGCACTGCAAGCTTGTAATGATTTTATGCCAGTTTATTCACTGCTATAGCTCTCCCAAAAGAGTCCTGGGAACTAGCCCTTGGAGAGAGTTTTGATAGTGTGTAGTAATATAGCACAAGAACAAGAGATCCTGGCCTACTATTTTATTGTCCCAATTGCTGGAACAGAAGTGGGGTTGCTTTGCTTTCTACTAGAACTCTTAGATCCACCAGCTGTAGCCTAGTACAAAAGACATAACTAAGAACCAAACAAAGCTGACACTCATACCACTCAAAAATCAACTTGTCACCCCAAGCTTTCTTCATTTTCACTAGCATTCCTTTTGGCGGGTTCGGGTATTTGGAAAGTTGGAAGTCAAAAATCCTTGCAGAGAACCCAGATTTTCTTTCTTTCCACCATGCTAGATCAATCAATAAAACATAATGTTATTTGGTTATTTGTGGGTATTCATTAATTCTACATTAATATGGGAAAGGTTCTTAGAATTTCTGAATAATGATAGCACTTTTTCCTTTTGCTTTGTTTTTTATTTATTTGCCGGTGCTCTTTCATTTTTGAGGTAACTATGGAGGGAGAACTTCGTAATATAATAGTCTTCAATGCTTCTAAAAAGGAAATTTTTACTATGAACAATGGTTATAGGATTCTACAAAAAAAGCTTCGAAGCAACTGGAAGATACAGAGGTGAGTGGAGTATGTATTGTTTTCTTTTTTCTGATCTGTGTTAGCTTCCTGCATTTTACTACTGCTGTTCTGAGAGGAGAAGGCGAGCCATCTTTTGTTTCTAGACCAGCATTGAAGTTTGATGAAGGCATAAAAATGCTTGAAAGTACCCAGGACAATGGCTGCCCCCTAACAGCTAAATTTTTGCTCTCCTCATATCTTGTACAATATCTGTATATCTGATTGCAGATTTTAAACAAGCTTATTTTGTTAGTGTAGGATAGTGGCAGAGTGTGGGTTTCATAGTCTTGCATTCAAGCCTTACCTCAACCACAGCTTTTCAAGATGGCTCTAAGCCCCTGTTCTTTAAAGCATCAGCCCTTCACCTTCATTGTGGGGATAATTGTACAAGTGAAATGAGGCTTTTAGCTTAATATACCTATATGCATTTGGCATTAGGTCTTCGTGGTTTGCAATATATCTCCCTTGAACATTTTGATAATGGAATGAGGTTTGGTAATCTTGTTCAGGACATCAGTCTTTATTTTAAGGTTGAATACCTTCTTATTTTTGTAGTCATTTTCAAAGTAGAGAAGAAAATTAAAAATACATTATAATGCAACATCTGCCTAGACAATTGAGATATTGACCCAGCATGCATGTCACAGTAAGCCATAG